ACTCCCAGACCCCAATTTCATCCAAATATTGATGTTACTTCTGAAATTATTTGAAATAAAAATGAAACTTCTACACCCTGTATCTCTGAAACTAAGCATCTTAGGACATACATTTATACGAACTTTTTTACTTATTTTTATCTGCAGAATCTGCTGCTGAAGTTTCCGGAATACAGTTCGGACCACCATGGATATGTGTTTCTATCTTGAACTAATTTAATTGCTATTGTACAGTCTTTATTTATATAGTAATTCTCTAATATCTTAGGGATTTTTTGCGCTGCTCCTATTTCTTTCGTCTTCTAGTTCTTGTTCACCTTCTCGTGTCATGTCTTCAAAGGTATTTCATTTTTATTTTCTGTAGATAGTTTCTTTGGCGATGAGTTAGAACCAAGGATTCATAAGTATCTACCTATAGATCTGTATTAAAAAAAAGATGTACCTATTAAAAAAGATGTACCTATTGTATTAAAGAAAATGAAATGTTGGTTTTCTTGATATTTTTGTGTTATATAAATATTTCACTATTTACTATTAATTATTTTAATCAAAGACATAACATTTTCGGTCACGCAATATATTTAATTTATTAATATTTATTTTGTTTAAAATACACGAGGAATTAATCAAAGCATGAGGTTGCTCTGCCCTCTCTGAACAAGGAAGCCAACTAATCTGTTTTTACCAGGTAAATGTTAACGGATACTTCCGAGACTGTAAAAATTCACTAGTTTGTCTATATGGTATTAAACACAAAAAATATAAACGAAATATCATTTTCTAATCACTGTCAAATTTGTGTCACTGTAATCAGAATCAGACTGTCAATCATTAAATAGAAGCTTCTCTAAAAAATCGGTAAGTCTTGTATTTAGTTCATTTAAATGACGGAAATGACTTATTTCATTCAGTGGAATGAAGGGGAGATATATAAATAAATAAAGTAATAAATATATATATTCTAAAAAACGAAAACGGTTGTATCCAGGGTTTGGTAACGATACGTAGAAAATTAATTTTATACGTATATGTATAAAAATGCGTAGAATATTAAGTAGAAAATGTATAAAATCCGCGTACATGTTCAAAATCAATTTTGTATATTTAAAGCTGTTTTTCCCTTAACAAGTATTTTCTTTAAATTCTATAAGTGTTAAAAACTGTAAGTACGTGTAATAAGAGACTAATTGTCGTAATCGATCTGAAAACTATTAGATTATTTTATTCTATTTAATCTCAATACCGTAGAGAAAAGTCTGATTTTATAGTACAAGTTTTGGTTGTTCTTTTTTTCAATTTTCTCAAAAAACCCTGGTTTTATACATTATGTATATAGTGTATTATTATATTATAGTTCGTAGTTCTTATTTTTATCATTATGCTAGGTGTTATAATTTTTTTATTCTGTTTGAGTGTTACTTTTGAGAATTAGTTTTTATTAAGTACTATAATCTCTATAATGAATCATAACAAGTCACTATTCATGGTTAAACTTTTATGACATCCATTTTTTAAATAATAAATAACAATTAGTTTAATTGTTATTAATCTATTCTTTGTGCTACTCACTGTGTTAAAGTACTTAAAACAAATATAAACGTCAAAAATGGCTTTCAATATACATAACTAATTTTCTACATATGGACATGTAGAAAATGTAGACAATTAGTTAGTGTAGAAAATTAATATTCTACGTGTAGAAAATACAGTAGAATATATGTCAAATTTTCTACCTACCCAAACCTGGTTGTAACTCTCCAATTTTATGTTAATGAAATTGTGTTTTTATTTTTTTTCCTATTCTTCTTACAAATTTTGTATGTCATTTTTAGTTTTCTCTTTCCTGAAGATTTTGAATAGCAGTCTTGATTGTAGTTTGTTACACATTTTTTGTTGTGCCAACTTTTTTTTGTATTTTTACATATCTGTTGTTGGCTTTGTTGTTGTCTGTTGTTATCAGGTGAATTGTTCTCAGTTATCAGTACTTTTTATATCTTTGGTCATTGCTATAGAAAAAATAATCTCACACCGAGAAAGTCATAATCACGACACATGTTGTGTTTGTTTTTTCAAGTTTAATCTAACTAAATAGTTAATCTAATTTTTATTATGAAATTTAGTGCAATAACGCGAATGGTACTTTTTTTCCATCTGTCAATTATACGAAAAAAAACAAAATGTTGATATTTTGGTGAAAGTTTGATACACCCTGTGGAATATACTAATAAAGTAAAAAATTTGAAAATCATTTATTCATCTAGGTAGATCTTTGCTCTATAGCTGGCGTTTTGATTCATCTCAATAGCTTTAATTTTATTGGAGATATTCGCTTTTGAATAAGACAGTAACGATTTATAGCTTTTTTTATTTTTTATAGCATTGATTTTGGGTCTTCATCAACACACGTATAAAATAGTGTTTATTGTTTTTCTAATGTCAAAGTCACATTTGGGCACGTTCAGGGACAGTCAGCGGCTGAGTGGCTGAGTAAGCGATTTCCCTAAACGGTCTCTTTTTACACGCAAAAACAGTCAGCCGCTGAGCAAAATACTCAGCGGTCGATCAGCCGCTGTGTTCCCTGAACGCGCACATTATTATTGTTTATTAACGTTTACTCTAGTAGAGATGGTTTAGTTTAAGTATCGGCTAGAATTTTAGAATTTAGAATGAGTGGGAGGGGGGTTAATCACTTCGACCTTACAGATCCATTGTGTCCCCCTTTCTTGAAACATAACTCATCATACAGTCCCAGGGCTTTGACAAAAGTCAGTATCTGGGACGGTTTTATAGAGGGTAGTTCTCCATCTCCAATATCAGTCGTACCAAAATTCATGGCACGAATGGTTGTCGTCTCGGCGCACTCAGTGATGAGGTGTACTGGTGTTTTCCCATCTTCCCCACAGAATCTGCATTCGCCGTTTCTTCTTAGTTTCAATCTACCGAGGTGTTCATTGAGGAGACAGTGTCCTGTTAAAAACCCGTGACAATCCGAAGATTGTTCTTACTCAGACCCAGGAAGATCTGTGATTTTTCTTGATATAAGCCCTCAGAAACTTCTTCGAGTGTCTTAGACCGTTGCAAGATTTCCATTCCAGGTTGCGGATGGAATCTTCCAAGTTCTTGAGTTCCGCCTTGAGTTGGTTACCACTTGAAAAGCAGAACGGTTCTGGTCCAGTTAGTGGAGTGTTCGCTCCTTTCCTAGCTAGATTATTTGGATTTTCATTGCCTTCTATCCCTTGGTGAGCAGGCACCCAGAGTAGGAGGACTTTGTTTTCTTTGCCCAATTTATTCAGCTTCTCTATGCATTCTTTGACCAATTTCGAATTGATTGATACTGAGTTGATCGTTTTTAACGCTGCTTGACTATCAGACAAGATGGCTATTTCTTGTTTCCGATAGTTCCTATCGAAGATAAGTTGTACGCATCTTTCGATAGCGTAGATTTCTGCCTGTAGGATACTAGGGTAAGTGCCCATTGGTTCGGAGTATTTAGCTTTCGGCCCAAACACTCCGATCCCTATTCCCGTATTGGTTTTGGAAGCATCAGTATACCAAGTTATGGTATGGTCTTTTAACTGCTGGGCAAGCGTTTCGCTCTTCCAATCCTTTTTATTGCTCAATACTACATTGAGATGTTTCTCAAAGTTGTACGTTCTTGGCATATCGTCCACTGGGAGTTGCAGGAGTGGTATTTCCTTTATGAGGGTGTTCCAAGCCCCTGATCTGACAATTCTCCCAGTACTAATTCCGTTAGTGACCATTCTAATCAATGTCGCATTGGCATATCTACCAATGACAATGTGCAGTGGTGTTAGATCTAGAATGACCTCCATTGCTGCTGTTGGACAGGTTCTCATGGCTCCTGTGATGCAAACACATGCTAGTCTCTGGACTTTGCATAGGTTTAGCCTTGCCGTCGGTTGCTCTAGTTTTGTGTACCAGGCAACTGCTCCATAAGTAATCATGGGTCTTACTATCATGGTATACATCCAGCGCAAAATGTTAGGGGAGCAGCCCCATCTATTTCCGGCTAGTCTTCTGCATATCATGAGTATCGGCTATTGCTGCTTTAATTGATCATGGTAGAAATCAACTTTTGGACTTAAAACCATATCTGTTAGTTATAATATGATTTTTCAAAGACAGTGATATTACATAGATCATAAACACTATTTTATAGGTTTGTTGACTAGGACCGAAAACAAAGGCATAGTTTTAATCTGAAAAATACGAAAAAATCTTAGTGTCTCCTTCAAAGGCATCTCCAAAAAATATAATGGTTTTGAGATGAATCAAAAAATAAAATATCGAGAAAAGACCTACCCAGATTATAATATGATTTTTAAATTCCTTGCTTTTTTAACGTACTCCAAAGGGTGTCTCTAACTTTCACCTAAATTTCAAAATTTTGTTTTCCCTCGTATAATTGATAGATGGCAACTTTCATTTTTAATTTAGAAATAGACATTAAAAAGTCAAATAATTTAGCTACAAATTGCTTAAAAATCATCAAAATCGGTAGAACATTAGAACACAATATATAAAACTAATTTTATAGTGCCTGTTTTTTGTGCCGGTGAGTGTATTCTCATATTAGTGTAATAATATTATTAATATACTGAAACTATCGAGCATCAATGCATAATTAAACCATATTTATACGACAAAAATTAGCATCGATGGCAATTTGGGCGAGTTTTTATTAACATTTATACTTTTTCAAAGAGTGTTTATAATGAATAATATAGCCTTTATATAAATATCCTAGAAAATCCGGATTAGACATTTTTATTTGTCGATAGGACAGATAATAAGATCGCAACCTTAAACTGGTGGAAAAGTCTGAAATAATAAGACAAAAAGTTTTCCCTTTCAGCGACGACAGTAGATGATATTTTGGGGTAGAAGGGATGAATGTAAAAGGGATGAAGATGCCGGGGTGTACCTATATACATTTGCCCGCGTTCAGCTTTCAGTTTGTTCTCAGCTGGCCGGGAAAACTGTCGGGCTTTCCAGCAGCGCGGAACTCCCGCCACATCGTCAATTTTCGCGAGTTTTCCCCTTTTCATGTTTCGAAAATGGCATTCGCCACGTTGATTTTGAAATTTTCCGTTTTTTGAAAATTCGTTCATAGCATGGATTTATCGGAAACAATAGTCTGCATATGTATCGCAACCACTTGTGCTGGGTTCTTTATAAATCTGGCTTTTGCATACAAGTTATGTACCAGCCGGGTACCTAGAAACCCTCTGCTTGTTGGGTTGATGGTGTCTGATTTGTCCGTCTGCATTATTAGCTGTCCAGTCAAAACATACAGGCGAATTTATAGGCCCATATTCTCTAGTTTATCAACTTTTGTACTTCTTGATTTTATTGAGGTTAGTATATTTTTTATTTGAAAGTTATTTGTCCCTTTATTTTTGTTTATTCAATTATAATTTGTCAGTATTTTTACGATGTTATAATTTAGTATTAAAAAAGGTTTCGTTCATATTTCATAGTTGTTCAATTTAAAATTAACTTTTTGAGCGCGCAAATGATAAAAGTGGAAACGCGGATTCAATACATTATACTTTTTTAGGTTTTTAGTTGTTATTTATTACATCAAGAAACTATTTTTTATAATGTTTCCCTAAAGATCTTTGAGTGGTTTATACTTTTTGAAAGTAACGGCAGTTGGGGGGGAAGTGTAAACTTACTGTTTCATTGGCACACATTAACCCCATCTTTTCCGCTATATGGAGATATTTTATCCAGATCTGATTATCACTGCACACCATTGCTTCTTATTCATAATCCTACTTTGCTTTTTATCCATTATGATTTTGTTGTATATTTTTTGGGTTTGTAGTTTTTTCGTTTAAATTAGGATTAGATGTTTTTTTACTTATTTTTTTTTGTGTCTAAATAATTTTTACGAATTGCTTTTTCTTCTCATTTTTTAATTGATTTTGTTTACTTTGATTTATTATTTGTTTTTGTATATATTTTTTTAAAGTTTTTGTTTAGTTCATAGTTGTAGTTTTTTTGCTTATTTGATGATTGTTTTACTTATTTAATATGAGTTGAGACTATTATTATAGTTTCTACCTGTTACCATAAAAATTGTTGACCTAAATGAATTGTTCCCAATAAGACTTTTCTTGTACAATTTAATCCTGAACGTTAAAGTTCTTCGTTGTAGATGTTGTTTTCCATTCTTAATTGTAATTTGTTTCACATTTCTGGTTGCTCTAAGTAATGTAACATGCAGCTTGACACTTTTATATGTTACATATTTCTGTTTCGTAGTTTTCCAGAAAGTCCTTCAATCTCAAGACATGTTCCTATTTTTGTTAAATTTGTGATTATACTTATTTAATTTGTATTTCTAAAATATTTTTCTCTTGTTTTACTTCTATTTTTTTTTGTTTAAAATTTAGTATTTTTTCTTATAATTGTTCCAGGATAAAATCACTGATGTAAATAACAATGGTATTAAATGAGAAGTATTTTTAGGGTCTTTGTAAATACTTTCGTTTATTTTTTTTTGTACATTGTATATTGTATATACCATATTAGTTGGAAGATGTGGTACAGTTTTTGTTTATATTCTTATCCATACTACATGAATTATAGTTCTGTATAATTTTCTGTGTAAAACATTTTTTATACTTATTTTACTCTTTTTTAATACCATTACATTATACTTCATTCAAGAAATAATTATGTGTGTTTGATAGTTATATTTTTTTATTTAGTTTAATCCAATTTTTATTAGTTCTAATATTTAATACCTTGTAATTTTCTCTGTTTAGTTATTTTATTATTCTTTGTTTTCTAAAAGAAAAGGGAAACATTTTGTATAACGAAACCAAAAATGTGCTATAATCATTGCTTAAAAATCCTTATGTACTGTCGTATCTTACTTTAATAAATAAAATTTTATTAAATCAAATGCCATTTCACAGGAATTTTCAATTAGTGCTATTTAAATAGCAAAATTGACTCTACATGACTGGCTTTTAAATCCTTCAAAAAACATTTGTAGTTTTAGCTTTTTTATTTCGAAAATTGAGGTCTGTTTGAAAAGCAGTTGTTAACGCAAAACCTTTTATAGATCGAACTAGAGTATTTGCCTTTATTTTACTTGGAATTTAATTAGTTGATTTGCAGGATAAATAATAGGTATTTTGGTGGTACTGATAACTTTAATTCAACTTTAAAGTGACTCCCATAAGTGCGTGTTTTAACTCATAAACTTATTTTTACTAAATACTTCTTTGTACCACACAGCTTTTATTTCGCATTTTTTCTCATTTATAGAACAGTCTGTTAGTTTCAAATATTTCGTTACCAAAAAGCCCTTAATTTTATTTGTAATTTTGTCTCTGGAGGTTAGGCTTTTAAAAGTAAAATTTCTTTTACTTTGATCTTTGGACAACTTGAGTTTATGCCGTCCTTAAATTGTTTTTTTTTTCTCATCTCCCTCTTTGACATTTTATCAGTTCAGTTTTGAAATGGTCAAAGAATACTTGATTTTTGAAGGTACACATATTTTTATTTTTCGTTTAATGGAATTTTTTGCCGACGTATAAAAAAATTAATAAGAAAAATGTATAAATTATGCCGAAATGTAATTTGCAGATTAAATTTAATATAAAAATATGTTTTTTATTATCTGATTAATATTATACTTCTGCCTGATGAAAAGCAAAAGAAATATTTTAATTATTAATAAAATACTTTTTAAATATAAATGCAAACGACTTCATATATTCCTCTGCATATTCATTCATTAAATATTGTGTTCATTAGAAACGGTGTATGTGTAATATAATCTAAACAAAACGATTATAAGTTGAAAATTATTAAATAAACTTTGTAAAATTGAAAAATGCATGTTTATTGTAATATAATATGTATAAAGTTTTAGTATGACTATTTAAAATTTGTATATAATTATGCAAGTAACGTAATAGTAAACTAAATAAAATAAACCGACTTGATTTGACGAGATCTCAAAACTTTTTATAGTGAAAGAATTATATTGCGAGACTTGCAATTTTTTTACATTTTATGTTTTTGACAGGATCTCATTTTTTTCTAGGTTATCCTTCTATTTTTTTCTCGGGTAATATGCCATTCAAAATAATATTAAAGAAGTTTCTCTAGCGATAATTCATAAACTTTGTATGTAAATAAAATCAGACAATATCAAATCGATTAATTGTACTAGAATTAATCGTATTCTAACTTTTTGTCGACTGGAAAGTCAGTTTCCGGTAGCGACTATAAACCTAACTTAATTCAAAAATATTTTTAGAGATTATTCAAGGTATTACAGGTAATATTCAGGTACTACAGGACATTAACTATATATTATACATAATTAGAGCTCTGAAAAACGGTAATGCATAATCTGAAAAATTCTTCGTTAATAAAGGTCTACGACAAGGATGCTGTGTTTCTCCCATATTATTTAAAATATATGTAGCAAAGGCCTTGAGACAATGGAGAAAATTTAATGGAATTGGGCATTAATCTGGGAGATACTATCTATATACCCTGCAGTTCGCAGATGATCAATTTATTATGGTCAACGATAAAGATGACAAGAAAACTACAAGATGAATACCAACAATGGGGTTTGGAAATCAACTTACTGAACTAAATGTCTACCTATTGGTGCAGAGTTATCTAGCACGCATCTAGAAAATGAAGAAATAGAAGCAATGACTACACCTACTTAGGAGTGAAATTTGATACAACAGCCAAAGATGACAATGAAATTAAAAACCGAATATCACAAGCTAGAAGAAAAATTGGCTGTCTGAAAGGAGTATTTTGGGATAATGTGAAGTAGGGAAAAAAACGGAAGATCAATATATACGAGACCCTTGTTATAAGCAGTTTACTCTATGGTGCAGAGACTTGGAGAATAACGGAAGCCAACCGAAGAAAGTGGAAGCAGTAGAAATGGATTTGGAGAAAGGAAATGGAGAAGAACTTTAGGAATTTCTCGAACATGTTCAGAGGATGGATGAGACCAAACTCCCAAAACAAATTATGCAATGGATTCCCCAAAACCGAAGAAAGCGTGGAAGACCCAAAAAGACTTGGAAGGAGGGTGTAATAAGAGCAATGAGTGTCAGAGGCCTAAGTGAGGGTCAATGGAATGACCGAAGGACGTGGAAGTTAGGCAGCGGACAACGTTGCAAGACGTTCTAAGCTTAGATACAGATTTCGATATTTTTCACTTTTTTCTTCCGTTATAAGCATAAAGCTTATGTGGAACTTCTGGAAATACCTTAGGATTTTGGATGACAGTGAGTGAGTCACTGTCAAAATTAAAGAAGTTTGACTAGCAATAATTCATAAATTTTGAATTATTGTATAAAATCATATAATATCAAACCGATTAATTCTAGTTTTCTAACAACTTTTGTTGGACTTTCGCCATAACCCAAATTTCATCTTTAAAAATGTTCAGTTCATGGTTTTACCGATGCTAATTCCAAATTATGTTTTTGTATTTTTTTGGATTATCGAAAACTATAAAAGATATTTGTAGGTTAGTATATAATAAAAAAAATTGTGAGATGAAAGTAGTTTCAAAAAATGTAATATATACTGGGTGTTCTATTTAAAATAACAAAGATGCTACCATTTTTTAAATGATCCGGCAACACTGTAACGCTGATAATATTTGAAAGGTCCAGGGGAAAACTTGATAAGCGCCAATTTCTTAAATTTAGGGATTTTACAATATTATAAGTAGGTCTAACTGGTTCCTACAAAATGTATAAACTTTGCAGGGCAATAAGTTGTTAAATCCTGTGATATATGCCTAGCATAAATATATATTATATAGCCTAAAAATATAATAAATATCGAAATTTTCAAAATCATCCCTTTCATAGCCGGTTCTCTTGTTACTATCGCCGGAAAGTCAGTTACCAGTAGCGACTAGACATCTTTTAGTCTATAAGAATATTTCGAGATTTTCATTTTTTTTTCTTCCATTATAAACTTAATGCTACCTAAAATTCAAAATTTGTGACATTTCTAGAACTGTACCTTAGAATTTTAATGATCTTTCAAATTTGACAAGCGAAAATTCATCAATTATGTGGTAGAATTTCTAGATATTTTGACAATATACCCAACTATAGTAAGTTCTCATGTTTAGTAAAAATTAATATTCTTGCTTTATCCACAACGAAGTTACAGGGTGGTCAAAAGTGCCGCTCATACCTTCGAGAACAGAATAGTATGGCTGTTCTCGACTTGGCGAGCATTAGTTCATTTTGGTATTTCAATGACTACTTTTATTCGATATCAGTTGATTGCCTATTTTAATCGCGGGAGGTTTAAATTTGTTTCTCGCTAGAAATTA